GCGGAGGTTAGCGGCAGCCGGCCGGGTTCAGGGCCCCCGAGCGCAGGGGCGGAGTGGGGCGGTAGCTCCTCTCCCTCTGTTGCTGCCCGGGCGGCCGGGTAGCCTAGAACTGAAGCCGCTACCGCTGCTCCCGCAGCTCCCAGTACCCCCACGTCAGGCCGTTGCCATGGCTCGGGACCTGGCGAGGGGAGAAGGAAGGGGACCACGCGGCCTGTCGGGAGATGTAGTTTCACACCTCTGGCGAGAAAGGGCGCTGGAGGGGGTGTTTGAGAAGCTGCAGAGATGGCTCCGTGGAGCGAGCTCACCAGGCAAGCTACTTGCCGAGTCTGTGGTCACGGACCTGGTACATAAGCACAGAAGCGACTTCTTGGTCATGTCAACAGCATATGCCGTTGGTCTTCTGAACGTCTGCCTTAGAGACTTTACTATATTCTGCCTTGTTTATAGTTAGAAGTTCCATTCATCTTTGTAGCACATAGTACCTAGTGCTGTGATTTGCATCTTTGAGAAAGGAAATTAATGTTCCAAAATCTGGGCTAAGACTTTGCATAGTTTTCCCTTTTAATATTTATAGAAAGAAGTCGGGGTGAGAAGAACCAGACTTACTTTTATGGTAGAGAACCATCTTTGCCTGGAAAAGTGTGCCCTTGATAGAGGTGAGACCTCATGGGCAGGAACCTGAACCCAGGCAAGGAAATGTCACTACACTGCTTTCAATCATGATACAAGGAGAACAAAAGTGCCCTTGATAAAAGTGGGGAGAACAGAAGAGAGAGAGAGAAGAGAGAGAAATCAGCAATCAGAGACTGGATCTAGGTGGGTACAAGAGCTCTTGAAATTCTCCCACAGTCGAGTAAAGGAAGGACATTTTAAGAATGGTGGTGTCTGCTGTTGCATTTAACGATGTTTTTGTTATTACAGTGCAAGCCCCTCCTCTGCTTTAGTCTTTAGAGCATAAGTCTTCAGTCATGCTCTCCACATTCAGGAAAGTTTTATCTGAGTAGTGTTGTGGGGGTTAGGGTGGGAGGATGAAATAATTAAAGACTGTTTTGCCTTTAGGGTCTAATTGGTAGGGAAGAGAGAGACCTTGTCCAGAAACAGGGGCCTGAAAACAGATGTAAACCTTCCAACTCTTCCCACTCCTTGAGATTGGCATTCATTTGCAGAATTCCACTGGATATGGATTGATTTTTAAAGTTTGAGCCCATTTTGGGACTTCCCTGGTGGTCCAGTGAGTAAGACTCAGCTGCGCTCCTAATGCAGGGGGCCCGGGTTCAATCCCTGGTCAGGGAACTAGGTCCCACATGCATGCTGCTACTAAGCGTCCACATGTTGCAGCTAAGAAGTCTGCATGCTGCAGCTAAGACCCAGCGCAGCCAAAATAAACAAATTAATAAATAAATAAAGTTTGAGCCCATTTTATCTGGATTTCAAGGAGCAAAACCCTCCCTTGAACTCTGGTTTACATTTGACATTTTGTAAGGAAGGCATTTCAATCCTTATGTTAAATTATTTATACATGAAGTCCCAAATTGGGGAATGATCTCAATTCTTTTTCTCTTTTAACATTTCTTCTTTTTCCCTCAGAACCCTCCCCCCAACAAGATACAGTATCTCCTTCCAGTTCGAAGATGATAATTGGGAGCCACTCTCAGAAGGGCATATGATCTTGAGGGACAGATTTACTCTTTCCAACCCCACTCTCTTGTCCAGCCTCTCAGACCAAGTGCTTACACATGTGAGACAGCTGCTTAGAGTGAGGAGTAAGGATCTGACCTGATAAAAGACAGAAATTAACTGGGATACATAACTAAACTGTGACCTCATTAACACTATGCCTTAACCAAGTTAACTGCTGCAGAATCTCCAAGGTACAATAGGCCTGCCAAGCCAGTTTGCTTGTTGTCCCCCGCTACTAATTAGATTAGGTAATTATTGGCATTTAAGCTTTTCCTAGTTCATTCCCTGTACTTGAAACAACCAATTTCCTGCCATTTCCCTATCATTCTACATCGATAACTTCCTTCAAGTACTGACTCAAAACACACCTCCTCCAGGAAGACCCTCTTGACTGAACCCATCTCTTGACATTATTCTGAACACATAATGCCGCATAAAGTAGCATGAATCCTATATTCTCTAGTTGTTTCATGTGCATGTGTATGTTCTCCTAGGTTATAAACTCCACAAAAATAGATACTATTCCTTTTTTTTTTTTTTTTTTTTTTGCGGTACGCGGGCCTCTCACTGTTGTGGCCTCTCCTGTTGCGGAGCACAGGCTCCAGATGCGCAGGCTCAGCGGCCATGGCTCATGGGCCCAGCCGCTCCGCGGCATGTGGGATCTTCCCAGACCGGGGCACGAACCCGTGTCCCCTGCATCGGCAGGCGGACTCTCAACCACTGGGCCACCAGGGAAGCCCCTATTACTTTTTTTTAACCTACCATTATATATGTATATATATATATATATATATATTTTTTTTTTCTTTTTCTTATTTTGGCTGCACCTCGTGGCTTGTGGGCTCTTAGTTCCCGCCCTTGGCAGTGAAAGCGCAGAGTCCCAACCACTGGACCACCAGGGAATTCCCGACACCATTGCTTGTAAGTTTCTACCTCCAAACCAGTTAGTATAGGGCTGAATACAATGGTGAATCCTCAGTAGACATTTGTTAGAAGAATGAAAACTGAGGCTTAAAGACAGGCAGGCATCTGCCTAGAGTTATCCAAATATGAATTCAGTAGTGGAATCCAGAAGGACTATTAGCATAAGAGGGCTTTGCCACCACTTCCGGCCTCCTCCTCCACCACGCTGTGCATCCCCCTGAGCCCTGGAAGTAACTGTGTTACCTATGTCATATCCCTTTTTTCCCTCCTGGGAAATCCTCTTTCTGTGCTCTGAATAATATTAAAAATAACTCTTCTAGCCCTTCTTCCTCCTTCCAGCTGCCCAGAGAACCCGGCTGGCAAACTTCCTTGTTCACCTCCACTCAGGAGCCAGAACCAGGCACGTGACCCCAGCTCAACCCCTGACTCCAATTCCGCAGGTTACCAAAAGCAGTTTTGGGCATCGGAGGCCATGTAGTCCCCTTCTCCCCATCCTCTGGACCATACACTAGCTTAGCCCTTCCTGGAAGGTCCATCATACCTACTAGCCAAGTCAGCATATCCCAACACCCATATCCATCAGATCCCCAACTACCTTCAGTTTCTACTTCTTCAGCCTCATCTTCATCATCATCATCAAATATTGTGTCTGTTCCCATGTGCTGCTCTGCTTGAGCATCCTTTTTTTTTTTTTTTTTTTTCCCATAGAAAACAAAACCAATAGGGGGCTTCCCTGGTGTTGCAGTGGTTAAGAATCTGCCTGCCAATGCAGGGGACACGGACGGGTTCGAGCCCTGGTACTGGAAGATCCCACATGCCGCGCAGCAACTAAGCCCGTGGGCCACAACTACTGAGCCTGCACTCTAGAGCCTGCGAGCCACAACTACTGAAGCCTGTGCGCCTAGAGCCCGTGCTCCGCAACAAGAGAAAGATGAGAAGCCTGCGCACCGCAACGAAGAATAGCCCCTGCTCTCCACAACTAGAGAAAAGCCCGCACTCAACAATGAAGACCCAATGCAGCCAAAAATAAATAAATAAATTTATAAAAAACTCAAAAAACCAATATACAGTCCTGTGTTGGAGGACTCTGGCTAACAAGGAGTTTAAAATCCCTTCTGGAACATTGGACTCCTGTATGTCAAAGATGTAAGATGAAATGAACAACAAGGATGTGCAATTTAAACCTGATTGTGACTACAACACAGAGAATATAGCCAGTATTTTATAATAACTATAAATGAAGTATAACCTTTAAAAATGTGAATCACTGTTGTACATCTGTAACATATAATATTGTACATCAACTATATCTCAATTAAAAAAAGTTAAAAAACAAAACCCAAAAAGAGCAACCTGACTGTGATAGTGTAAACTAAGTATGGAAGTGATAAGGAGACCTAACAAAAGGGAAAGAACTGTTAACCAGGGAAGACTTCCTGCAAGAGGTAAGTTTTCAGTAAAACTGTGAATTTTATTTTCAAAATGGTAAAAATTCAAAAAATTTACAGGTATATAGTGATAGGTGATTTTCCCTCTCATTCCTTATTCCCTGTTCCCCAGTTTCTCCAAGAAAAACCACTGACACTTGTCTTGTGTATCTTTCCAGGGATCAAGATCCTGAAAGTAATGAGAGGCATAGATTGTTGAGAGCAAAGGAGGGGGCTTTTATACCTCTGCCTTGACAGGGGGCCATCCTGCTATGCTGTTTCCTAAATGTGTTCCTTTCTTAGAAGGCATATATTGAGTTGCTGAGCTCTGAACAGGACCCTGAATCACCCTGTATAAACTGTACCAATTTTTCAATATCCACTTTTCTTCTCTCTTTTTCCCTTTTTGGGATGGGATGAACTCCATCCAGATCTTACCTGACTGGCCGCTCTCTGGCCTCTCCAATGGAGGAGGGGAAGCACCCCGACCGTTTTCGGGGGAGAGAAACCCGATTGAGCCTTTTTTTTTTTTTTTTTTTTTTTTTGTGGTACGCGGCCCTCTCACTGTTGTGGCCTCTCCCGTTGCGGAGCACTGGCCTCTCCCGTTGCGGAGCACAGGCTCCGGACGCGCAGGCTCAGCGGCCATGGCGCTCGGGCCCAGCTGCTCCGGGGCATGTGGGATCCTCCCGGACCGGGGCACGAATCCGTGTCCCCTGCATCGGCAGGCGGACTCTCAACCACTGCGCCACCAGGGAAGCCCCCGATTGAGCCTTTTGAAGTGTAGCCACTCTACCACCTTAACCTGGCAATGGAGTAATTAGGGAATCGAAAAGCCCGCTTCTGTTGGCCTTGGAGTCCTCCTTCAACTGCCAGCTAGCCTGTCCTCTCTGTGGGGTTTTTCTGCAGCTAAGAGTCCTTGTTTTTTTGTTTTGTTTTTTTTCTCCGCAGCTTGGCACTTTTGCTCTTTCCTTTCTACCCAACTCTTGTCACTGCCAGTGAAGATACGCGCCTTCCCTCCCCTGGGGCTATTGCCATATATAACCCCCAGATCTCCACGCCCTGCTTCCCCAAGTCTGTGGGGGATTCTGAGGTGTGTAATCGTGGACGGGAGGCGTTAGCTCGGAGGAGGCATTTTGGGCTGGGTGAGATCTGGCCAGCCATTTGGTCCTCAGGTTGCAAGGCACCGCAGCAGGGCCAAGGCCTAAGTTGCCGCTAGAGTTTTGTGGAGAATCCCCCGGGTCGCCAGACTGGAGCGGAGAGCACGGCGCCGCTGTCCTTGGGAGCCGGGTAACCAGCGGCCGAGGTTGGGGGCACCCGAGCCGCTGGGACCGCCAAAGCGGGGCGGAGGGCGCCGCGGCCTGGGGTAGACTGCGCGGCAAGCGCCCTGCGGCCGGGCCCAGAACGGCCGCCAGGGAGCGCTGCGGCCTCCCGCTCCCGCCCCCTGGTAGGCGGGGCTGCGCTCTGCCCGCAGCCGCCGCCGCAGCCGCCGCCTGGGCCGCCCCGTGTCCCCGGTGGAGCCGCTGCCGCCGCCGCCGGGAGCTCGATGCGGACGGAGCCCGGGCCGGGCCATGGGGATCCTCAGCATCACGGACCAGGTCAGCCCTCCTGCCCTTGCTCGCTTCCTCCTTCCAGGGCCCGACGCCGCCGCCACGCGAGCCCAGGGATGTGCGGCCTAGGCTGGGCCTGAGCCCGGGGCTCCCGCCCCGCCCCACGCCGCGCTCCCCTCAACCAAGCCGGTGTCCTTGGGGGCCTGGTGACCGGCGGGGACACCGCGGAAGCCCCCTGCGGCCAGGACCCCAGAGCGGAGCCCCTCCAGCGGCGCCCCCCGCCCAAACCCGGTGTCCCCCACCCCACTCCCCGGTTCCGCTCCGGCCCGCTCCCTGAAAACCGGTTCTCCCTGCAGCCGCCCCTGGTCCAGGCCATCTTTAGCCGAGATGTGGAGGAAGTGCGTTCCCTCCTCTCGCAGAAGGAGAACATCAATGTGCTGGTGAGTTGAGATCAGGGAGGATGGCGAGGCCTAAGTTGCCGCTAGAGTTTTGTGGAGAATCCCCCGGGTCGCCAGACTGGAGCGGAGAGCACGGCGCCGCTGTCCTTGGGAGCCGGGTAACCAGCGGCCGAGGTTGGGGGCACCCGAGCCGCTGGGACCGCCAAAGCGGGGCGGAGGGCGCCGCGGCCTGGGGTAGACTGCGCGGCAAGCGCCCTGCGGCCGGGCCCAGAACGGCCGCCAGGGAGCGCTGCGGCCTCCCGCTCCCGCCCCCTGGTAGGCGGGGCTGCGCTCTGCCCGCAGCCGCCGCCGCAGCCGCCGCCTGGGCCGCCCCGTGTCCCCGGTGGAGCCGCTGCCGCCGCCGCCGGGAGCTCGATGCGGACGGAGCCCGGGCCGGGCCATGGGGATCCTCAGCATCACGGACCAGGTCAGCCCTCCTGCCCTTGCTCGCTTCCTCCTTCCAGGGCCCGACGCCGCCGCCACGCGAGCCCAGGGATGTGCGGCCTAGGCTGGGCCTGAGCCCGGGGCTCCCGCCCCGCCCCACGCCGCGCTCCCCTCAACCAAGCCGGTGTCCTTGGGGGCCTGGTGACCGGCGGGGACACCGCGGAAGCCCCCTGCGGCCAGGACCCCAGAGCGGAGCCCCTCCAGCGGCGCCCCCCGCCCAAACCCGGTGTCCCCCACCCCACTCCCCGGTTCCGCTCCGGCCCGCTCCCTGAAAACCGGTTCTCCCTGCAGCCGCCCCTGGTCCAGGCCATCTTTAGCCGAGATGTGGAGGAAGTGCGTTCCCTCCTCTCGCAGAAGGAGAACATCAATGTGCTGGTGAGTTGAGATCAGGGAGGATGGCGAGCCGGTAATCTGGGCCCTGGTGTTCGGACCCCTCCCCACCAATGGGGCGGCTCCGTGTTTCCTCGGCTCGAGTGAGGCCGCAGCTCTTTCCACCCTGGGATGGGCAACTGCTCTACATTTGGGGATGGAGAGCAGGTCAGGCTTAGAGCAGAGACCAGTAGGGCTGAGGATGCCCAGAAACGGTGTTCTCTTCTGAACCATCCGTGTCTGCAGCGCCTCCACCCCTCCTGGCAGAAGGAGACTGCTTCGCGGGCCGTGGCGCCCACCCCCTGACTCCACCCTCCCTCGGTGCTTGCTTTGACCTAGGACTGGGGTTTAGGAGGCTGCAGAACCTGTGGGAAGAGGTTGTGGGGAAAGGCCTGGAGCACGAAGACTTGGGCTTGGGTCCTGGATCGTTCACCCCTACAGCTGCTCCTCTTCTCTGCCTTCCTAGGACCAAGAGAGGCGAACCCCACTTCATGCTGCTGCCTATGTAGGCGATGTCCCCATCCTCCAGTTGCTACTGATGTCAGGTGAAAGTAGGGAGCTGGAAGGTGTGGCAGCTAGGGAGGGGACCTGAGGGAGGAGCCTTTTTGTCGTATCCAAGGATTGTCCTCTGGTGCTTGGTCCAGGCAAGCTTCCATCTCCATCCAGATTCTCTGGCCTGATTACTGGCTTTCTTCCCCACCTGCTCTCCACCTCCCACCAAAAGAGCATATTATATCCCCACAGGTGCTAACGTCAATGCTAAGGACACACTGTGGCTGACCCCTCTTCATCGTGCTGCTGCCTCCCGAAATGAGGTACTGGCCTCCCACCTCTTTTCTCCCTTCCAAAGAGGATGACTTGGTTAAAGGTTGGAAGATAAGGGTTGGAGAGCCTTAGTCCTCTGCCCTACAAGTTGGTCTATCCCCAGGTCCAGAGGAGACCAGACCTTGGCCTCTCCCTCCTACCCCTAGAACTGGCTGGTAAGGGGGCGCTGAGTGTTGCTAGCTGATGTGACGTCAGGGGAGAGCTTAACACTGGGCTGGCAGACTGCAGGGGGCCCTGCTGCCAGGCCTTAGTGACTCATCCCTCCCTGGGGGGCCACCATGGAGTCTGATCCCCCTCTGGGCACTGAGATTTCTTTCCTTGTGATGGAGGGATGGGGGTAGTGATTTGTTGCATCCCTGCGCCTCAAGCAGCATGAAAGTTGACACCATGAGGATCAAACATGCCCCATCAGTTGGGTCCCTCAACCCTGAAGAGCAGGAAGAGATGACCTTCTTCTTGGCTTGGTAGTCACTTCCCTGGCTCCAGCCACCAGGGGGAGGGACTGAGGCCAATGGGAATGGGGTGGGTGGTGAATAGGAGGGGTATTTTAGCCTGGGTTTTGGAGAGGAGCTAGTATCTGTTTGCTTACCTAGGTAATGGAAATGATTCTGATGCATATGGAAGGGCTGAAGGCGGGTATCTGGGGATTAATGTAGTGGGAACATTTATCTTTCCTAAAAGTGGTAGGGGATTGGGATCACCTACATGTGTGGATTTGCTTGGTAGTGGCTGTATATATGGGTGAAGATTTTCAGGGTTTGGGTTAGGAACAATACCAGCTGGCTTGAGGAGGAGATCCACGTTTTCCTCAGCAAGGGAGGGAAGATTTTAAGCTCTGAGAAGTTCCAGAAGATGGAAAGTAGGTATTGAAAGGCTAGGTATGTTGGAAAAAATGAGGAGAGACTCTGTGCTGGGGGGAGTGGGGAGATGGGGTCACATGTGCTGTGCTGACCTATTCGCCCCTCCATTTCCTGTTGGTTTACCTCCTGCTCCCCCTCTATCTTCTCTCTTATCCCCTGCCCCTCAACAGAAGGTGCTGGGATTGCTGCTGGCACATTCAGCAGATGTGAATGCCCGGGACAAGCTGTGGCAGACACCACTGCATGTGGCTGCCGCCAACCGGGCCACCAAGTGTGCTGAGGCTCTGGCACCATTATTGAGCAGCCTCAACGTGGCTGACAGGAGCGGGCGCAGTGCCCTGCACCATGCAGTGCATAGTGGGCATCTGGAGGTGAGGACCACTCCCGTCCACGCCAGCCTCGTGCCTTCTTCCTTCCCTTCCTGCTCACCTTCCCCTGCCTCCTGGCCATTAGGCCTGGGGAGCAGCAGCCCAGATGATTATATAAACACTTGGGCTCAAGCACCAAATGAATGGTTGGGTTGGATGGAAATTCTTGACTTGGACCTCAGGAGGGTGATAAAGCCTCTGAAGTTGCATGGAAAATGTTTGCATACATGGTTTTTTCTGAAGTGAGAGTCCATGTCTTTCAGCACATTTAGAAGACTTCAAAAGAGTTTAAAAACCACCGAATTACCTGAAGAGACTCCCTTAAGTTTATCTCAGACTTCCAGATCTATCTGGGATCTCCTTAGTGCCTGCTTTCTCTGTTCCCTCTAGTTCTCCAGATTGTTCTGCCCAAGAACAGAGACATTAGGCTGCCTCAGCCTTTTCAGGGGCTAAGGGCTCTGCTCCTAATTAGGTATGTTGAAGGCATGAACCTGGCTCTAAACAGGTGTCTTTCATGTCCTGAAACAGACGGTGAACCTGCTCCTCAGTAAGGGAGCCAGCCTGAATGTCTGTGACAAAAAGGAGCGGCAGCCTCTGCACTGGGCGGCTTTTCTAGGTGAGAAGAGAATCACGGGGAGAGCAGGATTTGGGATTCCTAGGGCAGGGACGGAGTGCTCAGGGCCCTAGAGCTCACCCTCCACCTCCTTGAGAGCGTACTGTCTTTTCCCAGGGCATTTGGAGGTCCTGAAACTGCTGGTGGCACGGGGAGCAGACCTTGGCTGCAAGGACCGCAAGGGCTATGGGCTGCTCCATACAGCTGCTGCCAGTGGCCAGATTGAAGTGGTGAAGTACTTGCTACGGATGGGGGCTGAGGTCAGGGTGCTGAGCACGGGGTGGGGCTGGGGGTAAGGGCGGGGAGCTGGAGGGCGGAGTCTGTTAGGGAGAGGGGAAGGCGCTGGGATTGCTGGTGTGGTTTGGGGAGGTCGGGAAGATGTGGTGAGAGGATCTGAAGAATGCTTGTCTAAGCAGTAGTGCCCCCAGTCTTTGGGTCTGGAACCTGAGAGGTCTGAGGCAGTCATTGGATTTCTGGGATTCTCTAGGCTGTCTGTGCTGGCTTCCACTTTGTTTAAACTGATATCTCCCTTATCCCCTTACCCTCACCCCTGGAAATCCAGATTGATGAGCCCAACGCTTTTGGAAACACAGCTTTGCACATCGCCTGCTACCTGGGCCAGGATGCTGTGGCTATCGAGCTGGTGAACGCAGGAGCCAATGTCAACCAGCCAAATGACAAGGGCTTTACACCACTGCATGTGGCTGCGGTCTCCACCAATGGCGCGCTCTGCTTGGAGCTGTTGGTCAATAATGGGGCTGATGTCAACTACCAGGTGCCTGAAGGGATGAGTCTGAGACCAGTGGGGAGAGGGGCCTGGCTCTGGGGGTGCTGACCATATCTTTTGTTCTGGATAACTCTATGGGGAATGGTCCGCTTGCGTCCTGGGTTGATCAGTCCTTCCCAGGGGCCCAGGAAAATGTGGGCTGAGAGGATGTCCATATGATCACCCCGTCCTCAGAGACGTGTCCTTTGGAAGGGGGAACAGGGCCCTCTCCATGCTTTGCACTAGGAAAAAAAAAAATGCCATGTTTCCACAGAGCAAAGAAGGGAAAAGTCCTCTGCACATGGCTGCCATCCATGGCCGTTTCACCCGCTCCCAGATCCTCATCCAGAATGGTATGGACCTGGAAGACTTTGTGATCTCTTTTTCGCCCCCCTCAGAGAACTCATCCCTAGAAACACCTTTTCTTCCTCATTCCACCCCCCACCCCATCTTCCAGTCAGGATGGGCACCTGAAGCTCTGAGCAAGACACCTGTGGAAATGGCCCTGCTCTGCCTGCCCAGCCCCCTCAGGCTAACAAATGAGATAACACGTGTAGAAGGCTTAGCCTGGCCCCTGGCACATATTAAGCACTCAGACGGTAGCTAACTAGTGTGAGTGGTCTGAAGCCAAAGGTCTGAGTGTGTGGGTGTGCGTCCCCCCTTTCAGGCAGCGAGATTGATTGTGCCGACAAATTTGGGAACACGCCACTGCACGTGGCCGCTCGCTATGGACACGAGCTGCTCATCAGCACCCTCATGACCAACGGCGCGGATACCGCCCGGTGAGTCCGGACCCCTGACCCCACTTCCAGGCTGCCTCAGATCTAGGCTGGTCGTAGGCCACAGAAAAGAGGTCTGCATCTGGTCCCTCTTTGACCCAAGGACTGAGCCCCTCCCCTTCTCCCCAGGCGTGGCATCCACGACATGTTCCCCTTGCACTTAGCTGTTCTCTTTGGATTCTCTGACTGTTGTCGTAAGCTTCTTTCCTCAGGTATGAGCTGACTGGTTCGGGGCTTGGGCAGGTGGGCAGGAGAGCAGAGGCCCTTCCCGGCTCTGCTCAGAGCCCTCAGGTGGGACCTGTGGCTGTTCTGCCCCTTCAGGTCAGCTGTACAGCATTGTATCGTCACTCAGCAATGAGCACGTGCTTTCAGCTGGGTTTGACATCAATACACCTGACAACCTTGGCCGTACCTGTCTTCATGCTGCTGCTTCTGGAGGGTGAGTTTTCTTCCCTCTGTCTCAGGCCTTGAGAAGGAGGCTGGGCAGGGGTCTGGGCCCCTTCTTCTTTCCTGCCCAGAGCTCCCCCCCTCACAGTGAGAGCAGTGGCAGCAGAAAGGGCTGTCCAGTTCCATCCTCCTTCAGCCCCTCCCTGGGGAGAATCCTGTGGCTTCTCCTTGAGCCCTCTTTCTCCCCTTAACCTGCATCCTCCTTCCTTTTAGGAATGTTGAATGTCTTAATTTGCTGTTGAGCAGTGGAGCTGACTTGAGGAGGAGAGACAAATTTGGAAGGTGTGTTAATGTGCAGGAGTATATATACATAGGGAACATCCGATCAGAGAGACAAGCGATGGAGGGCAGGGTGGGGAGTTGGAGACTAAGTGAGGAGAATATTACCAAGCAGCTTTTGGCTGCACATCTGGTTGCATTTGGATCTGCCCCGATTCTTTTACCCACCCTCCTTCACTTCTCCCCAGGACCCCACTGCACTATGCAGCCGCCAATGGCAGCTACCAGTGCGCCGTCACACTGGTGACCGCTGGGGCAGGCGTCAACGAGGCCGACTGTAAAGGTTGCTCTCCCCTCCATTACGCTGCCGCCTCCGACACCTACAGGAGGTGAGGCGCCCACTTTGCTCTTCTCAGCCCCACTCGCCTCTCTGAGCGCCCCCCAGACTTCTTCACTCTCCTTCCCCAGGGCGGAGCCCCACTCATCTTCCAGCCACGATGCTGAAGAGGACGAGCCACTGAAGGAGTCCCGCAGGAAGGAGGCCTTCTTGTGAGTAGCCAAGGAGACCCCCGGGGTGCGCTTTCCCAGCAGTGTCGACTCTGGTCCTGTTATTCTCCCACCACCACCCTGCTGCTGCTTTGCACCCTGAGTTTAGTCCTGGATCAAGCACTGTGGGTACAGACAGAGTAGGAGACATAGTTCCTTCCTTCAAGGAATGGATGGTCTTTTTGAGGGAATCAGAAAAGCTAAACACAAATTCATTTGCTTATTCCACAAGCATTAATTGAGTATTTACTTAATAGGTACCAAGTAATGTGCTGGGTGGTAAGGATAGAAGATGAATTACCCCAAATTTCTGTATTGTATACATTCTAGTGTAAGATGTTAATAATAGGGGAAACTGGGTGAGGAATTTATGGAAACTGTATTATCCTCACAATTTTTCTGAAAGTCTAAGACTGTTATAAATAAAGGGTTTATTTATTTTTTTATTTATTATTATTTTTTTTGTGGTACGTGGGCCTCTCACTGCTGTGGCCTCTCCCGTTGCGGAGCACAGGCTCCGGACGCGCAGGCTCAGCGGCCATGGCTCACGGGCCCAGCCGCTCCACGGCATGTGGGATCTTCCCGGACCGGGGCATGACCCCGTGTCCCCTGCATCGGCAGGTGGACCCTCAAACACTGCGCCACCAGGGAAGCCCAAGGGTTTATTTTTTTAAAAAAAAGATATTTAAAATCCAAGAGGCTCAACTATGTGACCTTTGGCAAGTAACTTAACCTCTCTGTGCCTCAGTTTCCTCAGCCATAGTAGGGATAAGAATAATAGCTATCTCAAGGGATCAGTATGAAGATTAAGTGATTTAATACACGTGAAGTGCTTAGAACAGTGTTTGACGCATTGTAAGCGTTAAATGCTGTATTAGTATTTCTACTAGTACAACTACTACTGAGCTCTAAGAGTGGTGCCGGGGAATAGAGGGGAGGAGGCACCTAACTGGGAAGTTTGGGGAAGGCCTCCCAGAGAAGAGGATTCTGGGAGTGAGTATGAGATGAGTAGGCCTTTTCGGGCGGGCTGGGAGGAGAAGGCAGGGGTCAGTATGCCTGGGGGTGGGGGGAGAGTGTGTCGATCACAGGTTGGTAACTGATAACTGTGCTCCAGGTTCTCTAGGAGAGCATTCAAAGGATAGAGGAGGGCGTTGAAGCAAGAGTGGTTCAGGGCAGACCTGGAGGTGGTAGGTCTGGGTCTGGGCTTGAATGGGCAGGAGTTAACCTACCGAGAGTGGGGGATGGGTGTTGGCCAGCTAGGCCTGGAGGGGCTCCCTTGCCCTCTCCTCTGCTCCTCTCAAACTGTGCCCTCCCTGGCTGGGCCTGTCCCCTCCTCACAGTCTACTCCTGTCCCCCAGCTGTTTGGAATTCTTACTGGATAACGGTGCAGACCCCTCCCTGCGGGACAGGCAGGGCTACACAGCCGTGCACTATGCAGCCGCCTATGGCAATAGACAGAACCTCGAACTGGTACGTGTGGGACCTGGCCTGGGGGAGAGGAGCAGGGCAGGGCACAGCACACAGTCTACTTTGGTATCTGTGGATTCTCAAACCAAGGGGTGGTTGAATAAAATGTGGTCTCTAGATCCAGGGGCTTTGGGGGTTGCTGTGGGTGGGGTCAAGGGGTAATATCTTGGGAATACCAGAACCTCAGCACCTACTATTCTGTCCATTGCAGCTCTTAGAAATGTCCTTTAACTGCCTGGAGGATGTAGAGAGCACCATTCCAGTCAGCCCTTTGCACTTAGCTGTGAGTCCCAGGTCTTTTCCTCTTGCCTTCCTTGTCCCTACCTGCCCCAGGCTGGCACACAGGTATAAGCACGTGTGAATCTGTCCTTGCTTCTGCCTTCTTGTGGGGATGTCGCAAGCAGGCAGTGGTCTGGAGAGGGGCCCAAGGAGCTCACGGGGAGGCCTGTTGCCTGGAGTCTCCCTGTGGGCCCCAAGAGCAGAGTGGGGACAGTGTCCCGAGCTGTATCCATTGGTTGCCTGCACCCCTCCAGGCCTACAACGGTCACTGTGAAGCCCTGAAGACACTGGCCGAGACGCTGGTGAATCTGGATGTAAGGGACCACAAGGGCCGGACCGCGCTCTTCCTGGCCACTGAGCGAGGCTCCACTGAGTGTGTGGAGGTGCTAACGGCCCATGGCGCCTCTGCCCTCATCAAGGAGCGCAAGCGCAAGTGGACACCCCTGCACGCTGCTGGTGAGTGCGCCCTTTGGGCTGCTCCCTCCCCTTGTCACGCCAGGCCTCCTCCAAGACTGGTCCCCAGATCCCTCCTGAACCCTGAGGGGACTGGGGTTGGGATGGAGTAGGGCGAGGAGGATGGAAACTGCAAGTCCTGATTCGTAGCCTCCTATCCCCCAAGATTTCTCCCTGCCCCAGGTCTTCCCATAACCTCCACCCTTCACCTGGCCTTCTTGCCCCGACCATGCCCTGACACAGGCCCCCTTTTCTCCTAGCTGCCTCTGGCCACACTGATTCCCTGCACTTGCTGATCGACAGTGGGGAAAGAGCTGACATCACGGATGTCATGGATGCCTATGGACAGTGAGTGTTGGCCAGGGGTGGGGTGCAGGGTTCCCATCCCTGCCAGGCCCTCACCCTGTTCTTGCCCCCTCTGTAGAACCCCACTGATGCTGGCCATCATGAATGGCCACGTGGACTGTGTACATCTGCTGCTAGAGAAAGGATCCACAGCTGATGCTGCTGACCTCCGGGGCCGCACTGCCCTCCACCGTGGGGTGAGTGAGCTCCTGGCTAGGGTCGCTCACAGAAGGGCCTGGATGCGGGAGCACAACAGTAGGACATCAGATTGTCTAGCACGTGGGCCAGGATCTTGTGCCCGGGGTCTTAGTGGGCCTTACTGTATTTGCTCCAGGATGAGTATCTGACATCCGCAGCTGATCTCCCTGATTACCTTGCTCTGTAATCACATACAGCCACCTGCTCACCACCCAGACTCTGCCCCAGGGTATCCAGCTGGCCCTGTCCTGTTGGATAATGATGCCACGACCTGGTCCTTCTCCACCATCGCCTGTCCTAAAGCTGCCTCCTCCTCATCCCACGGGATTCTTTGACTCAGTCTCCCCCTACAGAGGGCCAGGATTAACTCTCACCACCCTGATTGTCAGTTGGCGTAGAGTCAGGGAAGGAGATGCTCATCCCTAACACTTAGAATCATTGTTGTAAAGACGAGGATTGGAGCCCTGGAATTGGTTCCTACTCCTGGGCCAGCCCCAGTGACTGGCCATTGGAAAGGGAGTTTCAGCCACACCCCCATGTCACCCACAGGCAGTGACTGGCTGTGAGGACTGCCTGGCTGCCCTGCTGGACCACGATGCGTTTGTGCTGTGCCGAGACTTCAAGGGCCGCACGCCCATTCATCTGGCCTCAGCCTGTGGCCACACTGCAGTACTGCGGACCCTGCTGCAGGCTGCCCTTTCCACAGACCCCCTGGATACCGGGGTGGATTACAGCGGATACTCGCCCATGCACTGGGCCTCCTACACTGGTGTGGCTCTGGGGCCTTTGTAGGCACAGCTATGTGTGTGGGGTGTAGGGGAGGGCAGACAAGGACTAGTGGGTTGAGGGAGGGACCTGGGTTGCTCTGGATCTGGAAGTAGAATGGAGTGTTGAGAGATGGCACGGGACAGATGGAGGGGACCTTGTTGTCATTTCTCTCCATCACCACTCTTCCTTCCTCATACCCAGGACATGAAGATTGTCTGGAGTTGTTACTTGAACACAGCCCGTTTTCATACCTGGAAGGAAACCCCTTCACTCCTTTGCACTGTGCAGTGTAAGTCCCTTCCTATACCGCAGCCCCACTCAGGGGTCTGTGACCTGGGCTTAGGACAGGCAGTCTATTTCCCCTGCCTCTCTTGCTGACCCTTCCTCTTCCCCCAGAATTAATAACCAGGACAGCACCACAGAGATGCTGCTGGGAGCTCTGGGTGCCAAGATTGTGAACAGCCGAGATGCCAAAGGACGGTGAGTGGCGGGAGGCTTGGGGAGAAGCCTCCGTTGCCTCTGGCTTCCTCTTGCTGCTCAGGAGAAAGGGCCTTCCCTGTTTCACTCTGCCCTGACCCCCTCCCCACAGGACCCCTCTTCACGCCGCTGCCTTCGCGGACAACGTCTCTGGGCTCCGGATGCTGCTGCAGCATCAAGCCGAGGTGAACGCCACTGACCACACTGGCCGCACTGCGCTCATGACGGCGGCTGAGAATGGGCAGACCGCTGCTGTGGGTGTGTAGGGGCCGCGTGTGGAAGGGAGGTTCTCCCCTGGGTTTTCGCAAGATGGGTCAGCCGTGCCTGTGGGGTTTAGGAGGCAGGAGGCATGTCTTTGGATGTTTCACCCTCTGCAGGTGGGGTGCAAAGGGTATGCAGATAGGAGATTGCAGAGCCAGGCCGGCACGGCTCTGGAAGGGAGCGTCAGCCCCCTCTGCCTCCTTTCTCTTGTAGAATTTCTGCTGTATCGAGGGAAGGCAGACCTTACTGTGCTGGATGAGAACAAGAACACTGCCCTCCACTTGGCCTGTAGCAAGGTACCACCGGCAGTGCAGGGGGTGCTGTGTAAGGGGCAGGGCCTGATGAAGCGGCTGGGCCTGGTGGCTGGAGAGAGGGCCCGGTGGAAGTCAGGATTGTCCAGACTTTCTGACTGGTGGGATAGCTTTCTGTTCTCCTGCTACCCCCTCAGCTCCTGTTGTCATGCTTCCACTTCACAAGTCTTCACTCTCTGTCCCTCTCCCTCAGGGCCACGAGAAATGTGCCCTCATGATCCTGGCAGAAACCCAAGACCTTGGCCTTATCAATGCTACCAACAGTGCGCTGCAGATGTGAGTGCCCTGGGGAGGGGGCTCTTGGCTGGGGGCCGAGGGGCAGGAGAGGTGGGTGAGGAAGTTGCGGCCCATGTTCCAGGGGCCCTCTGGAACTCACAGCGTTCGCTCAGCAGCGATGCGACTCTGGCTGAGGGTGGAAGGGCAGCTTGCCATTGCCCCGACTTCATGCTCCTCCTCCTTCCTTTCTTCCAAGGCCCCTACACATTGCCGCCCGGAATGGTCTAGCTTCTGTGGTGCAGGCCCTGCTGAGTCGTGGGGCCACAGTGCTGGCTGTGGACGAAGAAGGTGGGTGGGGTCTGGAGCTCCCTGCCCCTCCGGGCTTTGGGGTCAGGGACATTCGTTCTTCAGGAGGTGACTTCTTAAGCTTGCTGGCTAATAAACTGGATTTTCTTCCCAAGGGAACTCTTCAGAGCAGGGACCCAACACCGATACGCTAGAGTCTCTGAGGGGAGTCTGACGGAACTAGGTGGAGCCGGCAGGGTCCTCAGGAAGACCTCCTGCACACCTCAGCCTCCCAGCCTCCTGTCCCCCAGGCTGGCTCTGCTCTTTACCCGACACTGGGACAGTCTGCCTGTCAGCCTCCCTGGGCCCTTATAGCCCTTGAGTTCTGACCATGCTGGGTGCTTGCCTGCCTTGGCTCCCCTCCACAGATAAGAGAGCTCAGGGCCCGGGGGCAGGTGGATGGGGAGCCAGGGGTACAGGACCCTGGGGCTCAGTTCTCCCCTTTGCTCTGCAGGTCACACCCCGGCATTGGCCTGCGCCCCCAACAAAGATGTGGCAGACTGCCTGGCCTTGATCCTTTCCACCATGAAGCCTTTCCCACCCAAGGACGCCGTCAGTCCTTTCAGCTTCAGCCTGCTCAAGAACTGCGGCATCGCAGCAGCCAAGACGGTGGGTGGCTGCGGTGCCCTGCCCCACGGGGCCTCCTGCCCCTACAGCCAGGAGCGGCATGGCGCCATTGGGTTAGATGGCTGCTACTCCGAGTAGCCCCCTCCCGTGTCCCTCCCCCTGCCGGTGGCTTGATATCTTATTCTATTTATTTAGAAAAAGTCTATACATTTAGGGCACTTTAAAGGAGAACACGACTGGGTTGGGGGGCGGAGGGGGGAAAAAGCACTGGGGAGCAGCTGCTCACCCCTTTGCCACACTATCCTGGCCTGGCAGGGGTCTGGGACCAACAGGGAGCACCCCAGGCCCTTGGTACCCCCAGGGCAACCCCTTCTGCCAAGTGTCCCAAAATGATCGCTCGATGCCTGGCTCCCCCTCTCTTTTATCCCCTCTCTCCGTTCTCCCTTTCTGCTGCCAGCTGCCCCCACTCTTCCCGTTGACTCTCCTCTCTGTCCCCTTCCCCATGCGCCTGCCAGGCAGATCCCCACCTCTTCTTCCATACCCATCACTGCCTCCCTGCTTGGCCGGCCCCTCCATCCCCCCTCCATCCCCGCAGCAGTGAGAAGCCTTAATTTCTGGTACTGTGTGAGCACTCTGGGGGTGTCCCCCTCCCCCTTCAGGGGCAGCTAGCGGACGAGGGGGGAGGGTATTTAGCACTGGGGCCTGGAGCTTTTCCCCCACTTCTGTATCCCATCACCCCTAAAGTTCAAATGCAAAACACTTGAAGCAGCAACTACTGTACCTGGGCCCCAGTCCTGCACGCTCCCTGGCTCCTCATATGCAAATCAAGGGCTGGTCCTGCCCCCACAGCCTGCCCCGCCCTGCTTCCCTCCCCCTCCTGGCCTGGCCCCCTGACCACGCACTTTAACCTTGCTTCTTTCTTTTAACTTCTTTCCGGAGGGCAGAGCCTGTGGCCATTCTCTCTATGGCTCTCCTCTCCCTTAACTTTGAGGCTTGTCATGAATTTTTAAGTAAGCATTTTATCCTTTAGGGGAAGAAACAAATTAATTTCCTGCCCATTTCAAAACCACAGCCCTAGTATGTCCTCTGTGTTTCAGGCATGTGTTTGCATGTGTGTGGAGGGAGGGACTGTGTTCTTCCTCCTGTGCCCCCCAATCCCACAGCTCCTCTGTGCCCCCCGTCTGCTGCCACCTTCTGTTATGTCCAAGAGTACCCACTGCCCCCAGTCACTCCTGATCTGAAGCCAAAGAGGGAGGGGCAGGGCAGACTAGGGACCGTGGCTACTCGGGGACCCAGGCTTCCCCTCAGGTGTGAGGATGTTCTGATCTAGGGAGCGACAAGTAGATACTGTGGCTTGGTTCCTGCCTTCCCAGCAGCAGGGAGAGAAGGGATTGAGCTAAGGGCTGCACTGAGAAGATTCCCAGAAGTCGTACCCCAAAAGCCAAACTGGGCTGGAGTGAGGAGGGGGCACTTTTCTCTCTAAATGTAGCATTGAATTTGGCCCTGGTCCCTTCAGACGCCCTGTCCATCCATCTCCTAGCTAAGCCTCCTGGACAGTTGGACCCGCTTCCTCAGCCCAGTGTTCCCTTCCTCACACTCAATACCTCAGCCAGGGGCCAAGACACAGAACTTGAATAGAGGTCATGCTCCCCCCACCCCCCCAACCCCCAGTGCATCCTTGCCCAGTTTGGCTGCCATCAGTATTGTCCCCTGAGAACTGGACAGGCTTCGTTTACACAGTACAGGGCCTCCCCCTTGGGGGTCCCTCGGTCTCCTTCCCCCACCCGTGCTTGCTTTATTCATGATCTTACCCCCTTTTCAGTTGTGTCCGCTGCACGTCTTGCCACCCTTGCCAAGGGTGGGCTGAGGGGAGAGGGGCATCCCAGGGACTCCTCCCTCCCTAACAGATACCCTTAACCATACCACATGCTGGTTTCATGAAGCCTGGGGTGTTTGTCCAAGTCCTTATTCTTTTTGTCATGGTCCCTTTTTTATCCCCTCTCTCTCTGTGTCTTGTTTCTCCCAACGCTCAGTTCCTAAACATTTCAAAGCTTCCAGATGACCATTATTGATGAGAAGGATTGTGCAGCTTTTAGTTTTTATTTTTGTTTTCAAAGCCAAAGGGCCTTGCAACGCCCCTCTCGCCCCTCTCGCCCACCTCCCTTCGCACCCTGCCCTCCCCTGTACGACAATCAATGTGACCTCTCTTAAGGGCTGCAGCCTCCCACCTCCAGTCCTGCTGGTTCTGCAAAGCTTGCCCTTAACTTCAGTTCTCTCTCATAAAATCTTCCTGTTCCACCCCCTCCCTCTCATTTTGGTGCTGGGAATTAGGTGGCGGGGGGCAGGGCGAACAGAGAGACGTGTCCTCCAGAGAAAACTCTTGGGGTTTCAGTCGTGTTCTCCTTTATCAATGTTCGGTGATGACAGGAAGAATCAGTTATTTGTCAGGAGCCCCATCGTTTTGCTAGATGAGATTTCTGGTGGCTGCCCATTCCCTGCTGCGTCTTCAGCACACCTTCAGCAGTGCTGGGGCAGGTTGCAGGGAGTCCTCTGTCCCTCCTCATGTGGCCGTGAGGAGGCCAGCAGGACGAGCAGCCTCCTCTCCTTATGCCAAAGGAAATCCCACACCCCACCCTGGGCTCCCCAGCCCCTAGTGTTTTTTTTGAAGCATTTTGACCATTCTCATGGCCACTGCATATTTATTTTAATGTTAAGTTGTTGTTGTTGTTTTTAAAAAGACCTCTTTGACTTAAACGGGTGTGGAGAAGTAAAGCAGGCAGAATGCCCCCCAATCTTAAGGGGGTAGGGTGGGGAGGAATCATCTCCTTCCCTTTGCCCTCCCTCTCCCCCTCCCCCTCTCCCCACTGCAGCTCTAAAGCACTTGCTTCAAGTAATAAGCACTTTTGAGAAAAGGCCTATTTTAAGTGAGGACCCTGGGAGCAGCCCCAGGTCCCAGCAAAGGAGACAGAGCGAGGGCTACATAGGAGACAGGGAAACAGATGTGTGAATCAGAGGGTGAGATGAAAAAGAGCCAGTTTTTAGTTTCTGATTTTGGGGGAGATGTTTCTGGTTGGCTGGTGGCTTTGGTAGGGTTGTGTACTATCCTTCAGAAAGACAAATGGCACAAACTGTGGGTCCCAGCACGGACCAACAGGCCCGGGTCACTGCCACTGTCCAGCGGAGACTGACGGGCCACCTCCCCACCCCGCGGCCCCCTGAGCCATAGGACTGCTGAGAACCACTGAATGTACAGCCCAGGTTGGGGTAGGGAGCAGCCCCTGGGGGAGGGGGCTTCTCCTTTTGTTTGGTGCTGTGGGGGTGGGAGAGGTGAGAATGAGGGACTGCCACCCACCTAGACATGTGTTCCTTGGGGTGGAGGGGCTGAGGAGGGCCTACCTCCCTCTCCATCCCCAGCCGTGGCCCCTCTTCCTTCCTCATCCCTATCCGTTTTGACTGTAAGTCCAGCTCACCTTTGCCTTCAATATGTAACCAAAGGAAAACTCAATACTGTTTCCACCTGTCTGCCCACCCGAGCACCTTCTGACTCCCTGGACCTAGAAGGGGAGAGGAGGCGGGGCTGGGCCGGGGGTCGTGGGGCCAGAGCGAACGGTTCTGCAGCTGTGTGCCCCCAAAACCTCCTCTGGGGTCTTGGAGGGCGTCCTGGGAGGGGGCGTGGGGGCCTGGCAGGAGGGGCTGGGAGCAGGCGTGCTCGGGACCTTGTGCACGTGAGTGTGACTTTGTCCGAGTGACGCCTTGACTGCCCCGGGGGGGAGGCCCCTTCCTCCTTCCCTCTCCGCCATTTCTCACCTCTCCCCACACCCAGCGTTCATCCCCCACCTCCCCTTCCTGCCGCAAAGGAAAATAGCCTTACAGACCCTAGCCCAGAACCCTTCCTCCTGGGGCACTCCAGTATGGGGCCCCAGCCCACCTAGTCTGAACCCCACCTTTTAAGAGGGAGGGATGAGGAGCAAAGCAGCCCCTTCCCCTCTGACCGTGGTGGCTCCAGCCCTCCTCGGCCTTGACCCAGATTGGGCAAGGGCCGAGGTGCGGAATCTTTGAGGACCAAGCCCAGTGGTCTGGGAAGAGGGAGGTAGAGAGGGAAGGGTCTGACTTGGGGACCCCCTCCTCCCGACCCAACCCTTAGAGAAGCGACCAAATCCCAGAGATGGGAGGAAGCTGGGGTGGGGAGGGTCTGCTCCATGAATTACTTGAAGGTACTGACTCCGAGGCTGCTGTTGCCCACTTAGGTGTGAGGGGGACACTGTCACTGCGTTTGGGAGGGCAGAGGGTGGCGGTGACGAGAGGGTCCACCCTTGGCCCTCGCTCACTCCTGCTAGGCCCTTTCCCTGGGGAGCCTAGCCTGGCCCTCCTGCCTCCATCCCTCACTCTGGGCACCCTCTCCAATTGCACTAAAGTAGCTGTGTGCCAGTCTTACCCCACGCCAGGGTGGGGTCTCTGCTTCCAGTCCTTTCTCCCCACTGCCTCTGCTCCCATCCCGGACAATCTCCTTGTTCCCCTGTATTCCTGGATAGCTCAGCTTTGTGTGTGTGTGTTTGGGGGGTGGGGGTGGGTTCTGGCTGGAGTGGGTTTGGTAGGGGTTTGGGAAGGGCTGGGGGAAAGATGGCGGATGAAAGTCTCCTACCCCCTTCCTCCACTCCAAGCCACAGAAGCCTGGGAGGGAGGGTGCCTACTCTCGCTGCCGTGTGTCTTGCAGATGTGCCAAAACGGGGGTGGGTGGGAGGGGAGGGTGCCTGGCAGAGCAACCCCCAGGGTGGCTCTCTCAAAGCAATACAGTTCCTCCTGCCTGGGGGACAGCAAGACAGGGGAGAGGGTTGGGTTGGGGACCTGGGGGTTCCCTGTGTACAGCTGTGTATATTCAGGGGTGTTCTCTGTCTGGTACCCGCTGTGGGCGTCTACGTGTGTGTGAACCTCCCCTTCCCCGTGCCCTGCATGACCTGTGATGCTGCAGACACCACCATCCTGTGTGCAAGGGTGCGTTGGGGGCACTGAGGGGCATGTCCCATGTCCTGTTGCTCCCTCCATCCTGTGACCCATGTACTCGGTTGTAGGAAGTAAAGAGAACTGAGCACAATTCACTGGATTCTAGTTGAATCTTTCTCTAAGCAATGTTCCCCTTCCTGCCCTTCTCCCTGCCCTGGACTCACCTGTGGTGCTAGCGTTGGGGTTGGGGTGTGTTTCATGCTGGTGGGCAGCAATAAAGGGCAGACCTGCCCAGATGCCTGTATCCCCAGGGTGCTGAGGGCAGCAGGAAAAAGTGGGGACCTTGGTGCATTTGCCTCACCCCTCCCCTTCCTCTCTGGGCTAAAGCACAATGCTCTCCCCGCAGATGGATGCATCCTGCACCCTCCAGGCCCCTCCTCCCCATACCTGCTTTGAGCCCTCCTCCTGCCACATCCTGGTTTTCTATGCTGTTTTGGTGCAAGTACAACTGTCGTAGTCATGGCTTTGGGATGGGTTCTGTTTATTAAAATCCTGTTGCTCCTACTGGCCCTGTGTCCCGCCTCCATTCCTGTGGTTGGGGGGAAGGAAGGGCAACCTGGACGCCTTTCCACTGGCCCCCATCAGCCATCAGAGACCAGAGGCCACAGCTGCTCCTCCAGCAGGGCTATGGTGAGCATGAGGCCACCCCCCAGCAGCAGCCCCAGCCCCTGCAGTAGCACATTAATCGTAGGGAGGGGCCCAGGTGGACGAAGCAGGGCTGGTAGCTGAAAGAAAATAACAACATCAGGATCCTGGCCTTGTCTCTGCTGCTAAAACAGGAGAGGGAGATGTCAGCGGCTTTCCCCCGCCCAGGCTCTTCCACGCCCCTGTTTCTCATGTAGTCCAGCCACCCTTCCGGGGAGCCAAGGGGGAAGCAGAGGGGGCTGATGCTTCCCTGTCCTCTACACCCACCCCGCTTCCCTTGGTTTCTCCGCACTACCCCACACCTCACCATGTCCACAAGGGCCACGTAGAGGAAGACCCCGGCAGTGACCCCAAACACCCAGGGTGTGAGGGGGACAGGGCCCAAACTGAGCCCCACCCCCAGGGCTGCACCCCCCAGTCCCAGGACTCCAGACACCAGGCTCAGCAGCAGCAGCCGCTGGAAGGGCAGCCCTTCCTGGAGCAGCATCGCAAAGTCACCTGTGGGGAGAGAGGACAGGGTAGGAGGGAGTACGCCAGGGCTGCCCCTCACCCACGTCACCGCCAGCCTCCAGGTTCCACCCCTTGGAGGTCTCTCCTTTCTGGAGTCGACCCCACTCCACTCCTGCCATTCCTACCCAGTTCATGGGGCAGCTCGTGGCAGAAGACTGCTACGGTGGTGCTGAGGCCACTGGAGAAGCCATCAGAGAAGGCAGCGCCTGGGTGGGCAGGATGGGAGGTGGTCAGTCTGGAAGGAAGCTCTCCCCGGAGGAGGCTGGGGCGTGCATTCCCTCTGTGGTCCTCCCATTCCCCGCCCGCCCCCCACCACCACATGGTAGCTCTCTCCCTGCCCCATCCAGTAACTAGGAGGCCTACCCTCTCCCTCCCTCCCCTCCTCTTCCCTCCCTCCCTCCCCCGTTAACCAACCCAATCGTCTGCCTGAGGTCAATATCCAACAGAAGAAATGTTAACCAATAACCCATCCTCCAATCTTGCCCTGGACCCAGAGGCACCAGCCCCCTGGTCCTCGCACCTCTTCCCCCATCAGTGGTTGTGCAGACCATCCCCCAGGAGGACCATCCACGTGATATTGGTGCCACCGCTACCCTGACATCCATGACTGTGGCCTTGGTGCCCAGGAGGGGCCACGACTGCTGGGGGCTGGCTGTCCTGCTCCCTCTGGCCCTGAGCCCCTGGCTCTGTGGGAAGGAGGAAAAGAGCAGTGTTGGTGGCTGCGAGTGAGAGCTGGGAGCCAGGGCCGGCTCTTCATGTCCTCCGCCAGTCACCTGGAACTGCCTGCAGGGGCCGAAGCGCCATCCCACTGCCATCCTCCGGGTCCAGGTTTGGAGTTCTGAGATCCTTTCTTTTTCGCTGGCAGCATCTCTGAAATGGGAGGGTGTCCCTCCTGAGGGAGGAGGCAGCAGAGCTGGGGGCTAAGGAGCTGCCAGGCTGCCAGCAGGGAAGGTGAACACCTGGTCCCACCTCTGCCACTTGGGGATGTTCTCTCTTCCCAGGCTGGCACCTCTCTGTTTCTTGTTGACTTGAACTCAGGAGAGGAGGCCGTTTGGCCGGAAGTCCTGGGTCTATGCTGAGGAGCCCCAACCCACTCCCTGTCAGCTGTCAGGTCCTGCACAGTCAGGCAAACGTCAGAGCCAGGAGCGCACTTGGCCCCTCACCTCCTGGCTTGAGTGGCCATTTCTTGGCTAGGACTCTGGTCTCGGCAGGAAGAGGACAAAAGGGTGTCACTCACTGGCTTGAGCCCTCGGCGCCGCAAAAGCCCTAGCATGTTCTCCAGGACGAAGAGAAGAAAGAGACCGCCAAGCACCGACAGTCCTGGTCCCAGGTCCTCCTCTGGCTGCCCGCCAGGTCCAGCATGCTGCCCTCCTTGCGCCTGACAGAGAGGCGGTCAGGGCAGACTCTGGAAGCCCCTGCACCCGACAGCATCCCCCTCCTGAGATGGCGGAGAGAGGTGGTGAGCCTTCACTCATTCGCTCTACTAGAAGGCAGCTGTGGGCTGAAGCTGGGGTGGGAGAGAGGATGTCCTATGACTGGGAGCACACTGGCTCCATGGAGGCTGTCCACCCCTGGGGCAGGGGGACAGGAAAGGGGCTTCACGTACATGTGGCAGCAGGTGTAGCAGGGCGTCCCCACAAAGAGTGCCCACGGCCAGGGCCCCCAGGAAGCCCAGCAGGGGCTGCAACAGATGAGGTCCCAGGAGCCGCAGCAGCAGCAAGGAGAGGGGAGCAGGCAGGCTGAGCAGCAGGACTGCCAGGGCACTATGAACCAGGGCTGGGGAGAATCGGGCTGAAGTTAGGCACAGCTGAAAGGGAGGCCTTAAAGGAAATGCTGCAAGGGGAGGCGGGACCCCAATGAACCCCCTTCCTTGGCTTGGGCCCCACTCCCTACAGGATTCAGGTGCCCCACCACTTGCTCTTCCCCACTGACCAGATAGCGGATCCCCTGGGGGCGCTGGAGCTGGGGCCCGGATGCAGACACGGCTGTCAATCTGATAAAGCAGGGCTGGACACAGCAGAGCAAACTGACGAGGGGTCAGAGGAGCAGCAGGGCTCAAGCCAAAATTGACCAGCAGCTGGGAGCCATTCAGACACTAGGGAAGTGGAGTTGGAGGTCACACGTTAGGGAATTGCTGAGAACTGTGACTCAGATCTTTACTGTCTGCCCTTCCATTGCATGGGCTCCTGGGTCTCTCCCAGGGTCCCCTTTGCTCACACTGGCAGGTGCATCAGGGACTCGGGACAGTTAGGTATAATCAGTGTGTGTTAATTATTAGTGAATATTCAAACCAATGCAAACATTCAGTTCAGTACAGATTGGGTGCTAGTGAACATCGCCATCATCTCCCTCCCTCCCAAGCCCCTGATGTCTCATTAATTTGGTGATGGAATTGGTTGGACAACTAGAGCCCTCCACTGCAGAATCTTAGAAGGGAAAAGAACCTAAAATGCCATCCTACCGTCCTCTCAGCAGCCCTGTCACTTGTTCAGCCAGCCTTGGCTTGAATGCTCCCTGGGATGGGGTGCTCACCTCACCAGGCCTGTTTCAGGTTGGCTTTGGCTGCCCTCTGGTGTACATGGAACAAGTTCACCGACTTTCTGGATGAAGACAGCCATCTACCGCCTGCAGGCCGCATTCTCCAGATAACCAGACCCAGAGGCTACCCTGGGCTGCTGCTCTGAATTCTCTGCTTTGCCAAGTGTGGCCCCTAAACCAAGTCTTGGAGCTTGGGGTATGGGTTTATCTACTCTGAGCCCAGAGGGGACATATTTCACTACTGGAATAACATACCTTAAGATCACACCTGGATTTTTTTTTTTAAGTAACCATTTAAAATGACTGACTGTTTTTTTTTTTTTTTTTTTTTTGCGGTATGTGGGCCTCTCACTGTTGTGGCCTCTCCCTTTGCGGAGCACAGGCTCCGGACGGGGCGG